CAAATCGACTCAACATTTAAAACACCTAACAAACTTGTCCTTTTGGCGAGGTGTAGTGTGAGCAAATATAGCGGTAATTTAAACAGCCTTACAACCAAACTGTTATTACCTGTTATTTACATGATCCAGCTGTGTAGCAAAAGTGATGCTAGAGTTTGGGCTTTTGTACGTGCTGCTCTTTCCCTTGTAAAGTTTATGTCCATGTTTATATTGCTCCATGTTTGTTGTCTGTATACACAAATGGAAATCCATGGGGTCCAGGGTACACTGTGACTTTAGGAGACTGATTTTGAAAGATTTAAGTTTGTTTTGATCCTTTTATTTTATCTTTTGTGAAAAGCTAACATACTTTTGAAGACACTAAAGAGCCTAGTATCATGGGATGTTAAGGACAACGTGCCTTATTGTAATATCACTGTATACTATACGTGAGCACTGTCCAAAGGCTTATTACAAAACCTTAAACTTGGCTCGGTTGCCGGTATCACTTCTTTCATAACTAATAGAAATGAAGACGACCGCACCTGTAACCCGGTTTATTTTAGAACCCTTTCAGATAGAAGGATATAAGCTTTGTGTATGATTTGAGTTAATGTGCATAAGAAAAAAGACGACATCACTTTTTTATGACACATGCTTAAGATTTGTATTTATTATTATTATACATTGTGTGTATTGTACATGTCAATTCATACAGTGTCACAACATAGAGCATATCATGTTTGCACACAGCCCACTATTGCACACAGCCCACTATTGCACATAAAGACATAGATTGGTTAGCAATGTGGGCCAGAACAAATACGTCCAGTTCTTCAGATAAAAATGTTTAGCCGTAATTCAGATATAACAGGGGATCATAGTACAAGATAGGCTGATCATATTGCACACCGACATTTTCCAATATTTCGGTTTCATGATGACTGAGATTCACGACCACATTTCCGCAAAGCAAGTTTTGTTTAACAGGGTTAGGTCTGTGTAGGTTATTGACAGTGGCAATAGTGACCCGCGTGATTTCTCGAGAGCGCTGTGGAACACTTTGCTTTTCCCCCAGTCATGAATTCTCGGCAAACTGGTTTTTACACTCTGCACATGTGAGGAAGCTGTCACACACTCAGGAAACACGCCCTTATCCAGAGCACCGTGGCTCCATTGAGGCAGATTGGTGAGTTTTCATGTGTTTTAACCGGCTGCTTTTACATATAAGGACGGACGCCTGCGACTCAGCCCTGGTCTCTGAAGTGAGAAATGGCCTGTGCATATAGATCCAGGGCGTGTGTTTAAGCAGCAGCCTGATATGAAGTGGAAGGAGAGGAGGAGGAGGAGGAAGAGAAGAGCGGGGAAGTTTGACGGCTTATCTCAGTAATGTTCATGGACAGTTGAGCAGTGATGAGTGTTGCAGTCACCAGAGACAGAAAATTAACTCTTTACTGCCAGACTGTTCCTCGTTTTGCCGTTTTGTTGTGTTTGAGTGAAACTGCATTGCTGTATTTGAAGCCTCATTGCTCAGAATGTATGTGTATTTCCTCCACTCCCTACTACAAGCCTTGTAGCTGTGATTAATTATCAAAGCATGATTCCAGGTTATACATAGCTGACAAAATAGCTGAACCATTAAGTAAAATCCATAGTGTCTGGCTTTAAAATAGTTCAGTTCTGTCTCTAGTTTACACACACATATATGTTTAGCCTTTTTCAAATGTTAAATGAGAGAACCACCTTTTAGCAGAACTTACATGTATGCATAAGATAGGAGAATTCATACTTAATTCTTGCTTCTTCTTTATGCTGAAGTTGGTTAGATTTTAGACTTGCTTCCTTATTATTTCAAAATGAGAGACGTTATACTTGCTTCTAATGTGAAAGTTACAGATTTTATTTCATTTTAGTATAGAGTTGTTTACTTATCTTTTGCGGTGTGCTCCTCACTCCTACTGTTCTGTAACCGGTGATGCAACACTGACATTTCTCCGCTGTGGGAAGACTAAAGAACCTCGTCTTAATCTGAATACGACAGAGGCAGCATGTTGCGGTCCGATTTGTCCACAACATTGATTTGACTTTTACCAGACTCTTTCCGTTGGGGAAAACAACATGTATTATTCATGAGTAAATAAAGTTTGGTACCCTAGAGTTGAAATCCATGCAGCATTTTTCCTTTGAACACAAAACATACAAATGCAGTCTGTAATGAAACGTAACTATGAGGTGGTGGGACTAGGGAAGTTACAATGAGGAAGTCTATGAATGAAACACGGTGGCAATGCGTGTGTGTTTTCTATAGTGCAGTTCATACACAAGGCAACTTAAAGCTGCACTAACTGACTTTATTTTTGTATTCATTACGAAAATCCTATCCATGTCCATGCAATGCATTGGGATATACGTCCTTTTGAAGAAAAAGTAGCGCAGGTTTGTGCTGGCGTGACATTATATTTTAGATTGAGTTTTGATGAAACAAGGAAGAGAATGTGTTTCGGGTCGCAGATTGTGACCAATCACAGCGGACCCCCACTTTCGTGAGAAATCTACAGGTCCAGCATAGACTGCTGAGTTAGCACAACAAGCAGCGGAGCTAACCTGAAGCTTCCTTGTCTTCGTCACCGGTTTCTGCTTACACAGCAAGACAGCCATCCAAAAGAAAGTCCCGGTTCTATCGTTCTATGGTCACGCCATCCATGTGCAAATCCATATCCATGGATCTATCCATATTGGGAGACGCTAGCTCCGTAAACTACATTGGGTGTGCGGTAGCGGGGGGTGATAGCTTCATGGGTTCGGGGAGGCCAGCGAGTCCGCTGCTTCAAAATCCCAAAGTCAGTTAATATAAAGTGCAAAACAAGAAAAGAAGTAGTCTAATCAAACAAGGCATTAAAATCATTTATAATCAAGAGTGAAGATACAATCCTTCTGTTTCATCCTGGATTTGAACGTTGTCAGAGTAGAATTCTGTTTCACATTTTCAGGAAGACTGTTCCAGATTCTAGCAGCATAAATCTGAAATGCTAGTCCTGACTCTGGGCCCAGTCCCTGTGCTCCTCAGAGTCTGCACCAGGAAGCCAGTCCCTGTGCTCCTCAGAGTCCTCCTTGGTTCATATATAGAACCAACATGTGCTCTGTGTGTGGAGTATTTATATTCTACATTACAAAACATATTTCTTATTTAAATACCTGTTTTATCATTATACCCCTATTATTTAGACAGATTTGCACACCACTTATCTGCCGTACGTCCCCAGTTTATTCCAGCACCTATCAGTATGCGGCGGCCGTGTCTCGTTGTCCACAATAACGAGCCCTTTCGCGGTGGCTCTGTTGAGGTTTATTTAAATCTCTCGAACACAGCCTTTCCACCACAGCGGCCACTGCGCATGCGCCCTGCTGACAGCCCCACTAATCCTGCGAGGAGGAAGATCGCATCCTCCTTCACTGCGGCCAGGCTCCCGGGGAGGACAGATTTAACCCCGTCTTCATCAAACACACACACGGGGAGACCGCTCAGAGTGGACTACAGCAGGACATCTGGAACTTTTATTTCCCTCCATCCGAATACAGCGTCGCGGGGAGAAGGCGAGACACATTACTGTAATCGCTTTGGCTATGGACGTAAGGTGAACGCTGGCTGTGAAAGACCCGCGTACGTACTGGATATTTAATGCTATATCATGTAGAGTTTAACGCGCGTCCGCTGTGGTTATTCTTCCCACCGGACAGCGACGCGTCTGCCCATTCACGCGTCCGTCCCTTGGCTTCATAACGCAGCGTGGAGACCGGGGCAGACCGCTACAATCTCTCTCCCGAAAGCCCAGCCACTGTCACGGCTTATTCCTCACGCCTTTGCTCCACAATACACCGGAGGCCACGTGATTTGTTTGCCCATATTGCAGACGAGAATGCACGCAGTTTGTGTTATTGGAGGAAATCCAGATAGGAGAGTCAAGTTGGTGTCCTTCAGCCCGGGGTTGCCTGCACAGACCAGGGCAGACGTGTTGTGACAAGCCGGCGAGACCAGCAGGAAGCCCAAAAGTATAGTTGGTTACTGCTTGCTCAGAAATGAAGCCCTCACACGGCGTAAACTGGAGACAACCTGGCATGTTTTTCTTATTTTTTTTGCACTGTCAGAGCACCTCAACTTGTGAAGGTAACATTCCTCAGTGGGAGATTTAATTTAATTTAATTTAAGCCTACACGCTCCAACTTCCCTGTCTGCTTTGCTGCGTGCTGATAATTCATGTATTCGTCTCTATCTGTAAATTAAGCCAAAACATAACGCCTCTATCCTGTGGGAGAAACGCAGCTGGGATGTTTTAGTGCATAACCTCCTCCAGCAGCTGTTCAACTGAAAGATGAGACTTTCAATATTAGCATAGTTGTAGTTTTGCCAACACCCTTCCCAAGAAATGCACTGGAGGATACTACTGCTGTGATCTCATGCACCGGATCCACCCAAATATTTGAACCCGAAACAGTAATGACTTTTTGTTGACTCTTGTGGATTTGTCCTTTTTTTGTTTCATTTTTTTGTTCTTTAATATATATATTATTTTTGCTGCAGAGAAGCAGTTTTCGCACTCCTTTTCATTGGATTGTGCCGAATGCTAGGAGAAGAAGATTTCAACATGGTGCTACACAGACCTGGGAGATTTGTTAGAAAGAACGCGCAAGGAATTGTGAGTGGAGCTACAATAGGCTGTACTGTAGGGGAGAAAGTGGTGACGTTTCCATATTCACCACTCTAAATCTCATGTATCGGACTTGGGACAGGTACAAAGAACAAAAAGCCATGCATTGTTGGGATTGTAACATGCATCCTACTTTATAATAACCTTCTCTGGACTTCTAATGCAATGATTTGATTGATAGCTGCAACTTCCTTAAAGAAAACCAGAAAGTTAAAGCAGAACCGATCGAGATGTTCTCCTTTGCGCAATAAGGGACAGAGGACTTTCGTTTCCCCTTTTCAAAGCGCGTATGCAGGGAGTCGCATCGCCGTGGTGATGGGAAGCTCCGCCTCGTCTCTTACGGGAGAAACGGAGTCGGATCATGGCTTCAGCACCACGCAGTACCCCTCCTCGCCTCCAATGGGCTGGCTCCGGAACAGCCACAGCAGTCCCATCTGGGGCACCACCTTCATCCCGCGGCAGCAGCAACCCTCCCTGCCTCACCGCGAGCGCAGGTAAGAGTCCGGACCTAGAGGACCACGAGTCTCAGGTCTTTGTGTTGGGTTCTGCCGTGTCAGGTGGCGTGTTACAGAAGCCAGAATCTAGAACAGGGATGTCGAACCGCTCCTCAATGGGCTGGTGTGGCTACAGGTCTTCGTTCCGACCAAGCAGGAGCACGCCAGACTCCACCCATTTCCTCAAGTGAGTCCAGCTTTTACCGTAAAACTTGAGGAATTAAAATCTGCAGCCACATCTGGAACTAGTTTGACACTCCTGTTCAAGAAGGTCTTCTGGATTGTTTTAAAGTTAGTCATAAGCAGTAAGCGCACAACAACATAACATTGAGACAAAGACACAAAAACATCCCTAGTGTCTGTCTTTATCAGGAATCTGCTCATTTATCTATAATAGGGTTGTGCATTATGGCAGAATTTCTGTTATTAACCAGCCAAGAAGGATTGTAATTAACGATTATTTTTATCTGTTCTGCAAACATTATTCATTTCAGTAATAACTTAGTGGTTTTGAGTCTCAAAAGACTTGTGAATTTTGGATTTCAAAATAGATTTGACAAAACGAAGCTAAAATAATGTGACTCAAGAACAAGTGATCACAAAATTGCTTGATTAAAAGTTGTTCATGCCTTATTTTTAACCTGCAGTAATTACAGTTCTGTGGAAGTCACCAAACCATTCATCAATTATAATTAGTTAACGTTGACAGCTAGTTCAAATATGGATTAGTGGCGATTAACCTGTTAACTTGTCACAACCAAATGATCATCGAGCTTGAGAATCCTATAAACTATTCAATCCATGAATCTTATACCTATAAAAAACTAAACTGTTATACAATCCAACTCGTTCATGTATGTATTATTTATTTATTATTTAATTCAGACACAAAAAGAGTTCATATAACACAAAAACGAACTGCAAAAATACATACAAAAAACAAACAAACACAATATTTACAACATTATGTAATTACAGGTCATTCAGTTTGGTTCCATCTCTAGTTCTTTCACATCTTTAGATCAGCTTTTTCAGACATATGCGTAAAAACAGTGAAGACCACCCTCACTCAGCCAATCAGCTCACAGCCCAAAACGTCCAATAGTGGCTCAAAGTGCTCATTCTAGCATCAAAAAAGATAACATATTTTGTGTCTGCTTTGTCTACAACATTATAGTTTAACCAGACTGTTCTGTTGGGACAATCTGCAAGTGAGGTACCCCAGCCTTAAGACAAGCAAGTAACGAAAACAACACATACAGTACAAACCCCTGATGCAAAAGATACTAACAATAGTTCAATAATATTTTCCATGAATGTTATATTAGAGTATTAAGTCTTGCAGTCTCTCTCAATCCCTTGTGTGTTTCCCCCCCCAACTATCCACTACCTAATTCTGCTTTAACAACTCTCCTCCCGCTCTGTCCTCAATCCTCTGATTCTCCCTCTGCTTATTTTATCAAAGGCTGTATTTTGATGTTTTGCTATGATGCACCCAAAATCAAACTAAGCCGGATTTGTCCCTTCAAATCCCACCCCTTTGGTTTTCCCTGAGCGCTAACTGTACATCTGTGCTTCCACCATTTAGGCAGTATACTCGATTGTCCAGGCAGCCAGAGTGACCTGACCCCCCTGAGCCTATTGTTGTAGCTGATAGTCATTTAAAAAGTGCCTTTGTTTTGGTTTTGATGCTGGAAAAACGACATTCTTGCTTGAAAATCCCTGTTGGTAATCAGCCCTACTTCACTGTAATGTGGAGGTTCTTTATTTTTACCTTTCCTAAGCACCAGGGACTTTTATTGAGCCAGCAGCTGCTATAATTCATCCAGGTTTGTGTCAAGCAGAGCCTACTATTAGTGCCATTCAAATAAATAGTGTTTCTTAGTATCGACAAGACAGAATGTGATCCATTTAGTTAGTGAGGGGAAAGAAAGCTTGCGCTGCTGTAATCCATTGTTCCAGTCGGTGCTTTCTGATTGACTGTCCGCACATGGGAGGTATTTAAAAGTACGACTTGGCCATTATGAGCAGTGGGGGGCGCGATTCTGCTCAGTATTCTGATATTTTGCGAGGACAATATAAATCGCTAAATAATTATCTGTGTAACTTTTGTGTTAAACTCAGAAAACATCTGAGGTTTATGATAGTGCTATTTGTGACTTTAGCGTTTTGTATTTGAATAATGTAAGTGATGTGTTGGGAGCTCGCAGTTAGTGTGATAAGTTTTCTATTAAGAGAATAATGTCCTGTCTGTAATAAGGTCCTATGCCCTGAATAGTTTGCACTTCAGTTGACGTACAGACCATAATAAATGTTAAATTTGAGTTGAGCATTGTGTTATGCCTTTTGAATAATATGAGGGACATGAATTGCAATATATATCTCGCAGAATTTAATGGCAAATACAATATGTTACCTCATTGACTGCCATTGACGTATTTGTCTGAGATGGGGATTTCTGTCAAACTTCACTCTATTTGACGGGGACAACAAAAACTACACACAAACTTATTTTTGCTGATAAAAGTAGACAATCCAGTTTTTCAGAATCCATCCATTTTCTTCCCTTAATCCATTTCTGGGTCGGGGGGGTGGCAGTCAGAGCTGCACCCAGTACACTTAGCACCAGCCCCTCACTGATCCTCCTGCAGGTGGTGAGTCCACAGGAGCTGAGATCTTTCAGTTGGGGCTTTGGGCAAAGTAGGGTTAAGTGTCTTGCCCAAGGACACTTGACAGTTTTTCAGAATCTAGTTTAATATTTCACATAGTCTTAGCTCATAATATTCTGTGGGTCTTGAGAATCAGTGAAATCAACAAAAACGGTTGGCAGTCAATGAGTTAAGAATCGCAATGATTTTGAACTGTGGCTCAAATATCGATCGTCACATTTTTGACAATTCCCAGCCCTAATAATGAGGGACCTTTGTCGTCGTCTTCACACCGACACGCTTCCTGCTCTTTCCGGCTCAAGCTTTCAGACGATGGATCGCGTGTAGTTGTTGCTGAGTCACTCGGGGGCAGCGTAGTCCGGTTGTTGGTTATTGATTTTCAGAGAGCCTGATCACATTTCCCCACAATAGATGTCATCATTTATTCAGCACCAGTCTCCCCCTCGGCTTTTCATCTTTCTCGATGCCTGCCTTCCACTGTCACTCGCTCATTGCTGCTCCACTATGTTTAACGGTTAAGAGTGTCACGGCTGTTGCCTCATTGTATTTGTCAACTATAGATCGGCCCAATCGTTCAATCTATGTGGACAAACTGAAGCATTACTGTGCAAGTGCTGCATTGATGGATCCAAAACGTCAATTTAGCACTCATGTTTTTCATTTGGATCCCAGTTTTATACATAAAAAAAAAGTAAATCAAGCGGTCTCTTTAACTGTGTACTCCGTGTTCTCCCCATCCTTGGCCCCTTCGCCAAGGTGAGAAAATGAGGCCAAAGCAAAGTCCTGCAGATCTCAGAAGGGAAGTGTTTGCTGCAAGTGTTGAGAAATCCCTGAAATCAGCTTTGCGTTTCCAAAGAAATACAGCGAGTGATTTTGATGATGGTTGTGTGATGGCATCATAAACAAATCTTATGCAGAGACTATTTAAGAGATCCGTTATTCGTCCCACAGTGGGGAAATTTCAGTCTTGCATCACCAGTTTCAGAACAGTAGGAATGAGAAGCACACAAAGCACAATTAAATGAACAATTACTATATTTTTAAATAAAAATCTAGCATAATACAAAATTAGCATAATAAAGAAACAAGTATGAAATGCTGTATATTCTACTGCAAGAATGATGTAGTATCGGTAGTTGTATGTATGTCTACATGTTAGCATGAGGGACAAAGGGACAGTGGACACGTGTGGTTCCATATTGCACATTCTTTCAAATTATTGCACAAATGCGCGACATGTGAGGTCAGGTCAGCAGTGTTCGTTAGTCCTCATGGAAAGCTGTACAGTCTGACAGCAGCAAATAAAAACCTGCGGAACCTCTGCTTCACACAGCAAGGGTGGATCAGTCTGTCACTGCAGCCACTCTCCAGAGCAGACAGAGCGTCCTGCAGGGGGCGACAGTCATGTTGAAGCATGTGTGTTTGGCCAGGACCCTCTTGTCGGTCCTGTTTGTATACCTTGTTTGTGTTCTGACCAGTGATGTCACAATATTGAACTTCAAACTCTATTTCAATACCAGAAAAAATACTCTATACCAATTTTGATTCCACAGCTCTTTTTAGACAACCGTAAACTACTACTACTCCTACTTCTACTACTACTGCCACTACTACTACTAATGTCCAAGTCATTATGTTTTGATTCTTGCTTTCATAAGTGTCAGAAGGAAAAGCGGTGACTCATTTGTTTCCAGCTGGGCATTGTCATGCCATACTTGTTTCTATTTAGCTGTATTTGTTTATCACCATAGCAACGAGCTCCTCTCCCTTAACAGCGGTCCAAACCGAACACATTCCCGCATTCAGACACCGAAGAGTTACTTTTACTCTGCTCTGGTGATCTGCCGGTGATGCTAAAGCTCTCACTGTATGGTACTTTAGAACTCGGAGCATTGCCTCTTATCGGCTGCTGCTCCCTATCTGCACACAAACACACAGCTTAGCATAATATAGTTTGGCCAGTGATGGAGCAGAAACTCTTCAAACATCACGGACGGCCGTATACATTTACCACTGCAATTTTCACTGGATGTTATCTCTCTTATTTATCTGGAGTTTGTATTTTTTTCTTTAAGACACAATACATGATATTTCAAGGGCCATTATGTAGGATTTCATGATATTCCAGATTTTAAATGACACTCGTGCACATTGTAGCAGCGCATATTTTCTCATGTCAACAACATGTCATGACTTTGAGAGGGGGGTGGTTCTCTCCCAGTGCAGGTTGCAAATCTTACGTAGTATTTCTGTTTTCTATGAATTATATTATTTTGTGAGAGAAAAAATATCTTTAGGTTCAGACATTGAGGACATTGAAAGTTCCCAGAC